ATTTTCGAGCTCCTCGAAGCTTCTCGATTTTCCTGACATTAGAGAAATTGCAGCTATCGAAGGTAAATCATTCGCTCAATTATAGGTTTACCTATTACTGATTAACGATAACGTCAATAATTGATTTACTATAACAATGTTAACATATCAGATATCGGGGTATTCGGTCGCAAAATTATATTTGTGCAACTGACATTGTAGAGCTCTCGTTCTTCATCCCAATAAATTTCATGCCATCGTAATTCATAAAATATAAATAAATATTGATATATTCCGTAATAACGTAATAAAATGATTTATTTTAATATTAGAGGAAATTATGAAAATGTAGGAAGCGAACAAAATACGCCTCAATAATTAACAAAATTGATGGAGATAACAGCAGCCAAAAGTGTTTACGTACTTTCATTATACGAAAAATTAGAAAAAATTCTTATGCGAATAATGAAAGTAATATTTCCCGCTGTACTTGCGTATTTATTAAGTCACGGTCGCCTAAGGCAATGTCCGCGAACATCTCGTCGTTAATCACGCCTATAACCCTGACAGATAAACTGTTGAAGACGTCAGAAACGTGGAAAATGCGCGAGCGGAACGTAGATATTCCGCCGAAAATCGCACGTATATTTACTTACAGACGGGAACAAGCCGGTGACTAATGCCGACGTCGGGTGATCTGCTGAAAGTGTCGTGTACGTTTCTTCCAATAGACGCGAGAGAAATATACCTGATTAATCGCAAAGGATTTCTGCCGAGAGCACGATAGTAAAGAAACACGATTATCGTCGGTCGGCGTAATATCTCGCGATATAAAGTATTGTAATAGGAACAATAAATAATATATATATTTTGCGGAAAATGTGTAAAGCTAGAATCACACGATGCCACACGATTTCGTGTCTTTTTTACGCGTATGCTGATCAGTCAGTTCAGTTTACTGCGTGGATAGAATGCTATCGCATAAAACATTCGTGGATCGCTATCGAAAGAGAACATTCTTGTTTGGAAGATATCTTCGTTCTTAACATATTAATCTTCAAGTGAGATTACATAATGTCAAACAAAGATAAGTTGCTTCAAAGAATATATTTTGTATATGATTTGACAAAGAAAAATATGCGTACTCTTATTATTCAAAAATAATTTTTACTAATGGATAGCATAAAATATTAAATTGGCAATATGATGCTTTTAACTTTTTGCTACCAATGGACATGTTTTTTCACATCTTTTTTCATTAATAATTTTTTTAAACTTTCTAAAGCTACATTGTAATCATCTATTTAATGAAGTGAAAGTAAAAAAGATTGTACCTTTATTTAAAAAACAAAATTAGTAATAGAAGAGTTCAAAGGTGTATTACGTTCAAGGAATTCCACTATCCAGAAGATATATGAGTGCCGGTCAACATGTACGTTGGAATGTATGGGACCGTGTGTTCCTAGTTTAATAAATCCGACGCGTGTCCGATGTCGAACTCGAGAAAAACACTAGCAGATGTTTGCGCGCTTGTTTACAATTGCTACGGGCGTGAGCTACCGCGGAAATTAAATATATGGAAATTAACCGTTGACATCCTGTGACGCCGCCCTTCAATCGAATAATTACCTGACGATGAATAGAATGCAGCGCCTCGTATGCCTTCGTTATCGCGTACGCTACGAGATTCATTACGATGATTATCTCTCATGCGGACAGACAATACAACAACTAGGTTGCAGCAACTTTGTTTCGCAGCGACACATGTGACTGTTCTTCGATCGCTCAAGGCACGGCATTCTGACCGCGACAATATCCACAATTGATTGAATTAATCGTCACCGGCTAAAGCGAATTTATTACGCGTGTAATTATATCCCGGGGTCAAAGCGGCAGAGATAACGGCGGATATATCTAAAATCAAACGGCGGGCATTATAGAATAACGCTCACGAAATGAACTATCTGTTCACACGGGAAGGAGGCTTCAGTTCGTGCAACTGAACCAGAGGAAAAAAATTCGTGACGACGAGAAACAGTATCTCTGTCACTGTAACCGAAAACATTCGTCTGAGCGTTCAGTCGCGTTGAAATTCGGTTGGAGTAACTGAGAGCGATTGGCTGAGTGGAAACTTCCTACGGGAATCTTTTTGTATCTACCTACAATCGAGTTTTTCATTCGGTTCCCCAGGTAACAGAAAATTCAGTTTCACTAACGGAGTTGTTTTTTCTATGTACCATCGGCGATTCGTCCACACGCACGTATTTCTTCTCAGTACGTTCGCCACTGTCGTGAGCTCGATGAGTATATTTGAAACGATTGCACGCGCGAATAGTAATTCTTTGACGAGACGGGACTCGCGGTTGAACTAATTGGAAAGGGCAACGGCGCTTAAATACAAGATGTAACGGCGAATTACGGATTTTCACGCAAATGTGACGAAATAGCTGGTTGGCTGTCTGTCTGCCAGCCAGTTGATTGGCTGGCTGGCTGGCTGGCGCGAGACAAAGGCGACAGAAAATTTGATTGAAAGCTAAGAACGTCGTATTGGATCAAATACCGGCGGAGTCACGTTTCCGCGAATATTATTCTAGCCGCGCGTACGGTGTCAAGTAGAACGAAATGAGATAAGTCAGACCGCGTGTGAGGCAGCAACCCGCCGACAAATCGTGCGTTCGAGAATAACACGGAAATAAGCCGTAGAGAGGCGATTTTTATCAAGAAGAATATTCCGAGTGGCGTCCCGTAGTCCGATCAAATATCTAATTTATCGCAAAGCCATGATACATATATTAGGACCTTAACTTAGTTTCCGCCCAAAAAATACTGAGAAAAAGCATTTATTGTAAAAAATTTATTTAAATTATTTCAATGAAAGTATTTTCCATCACTTTCTACAACTTTTTGCCATCTTTCTGGCAACTGGGCGATACCATCTCGATAAAACGATGTTTGTTTCGAAGCAATCCATTCGTCCACCCATTCTCGCACTTCTTCAACATTTCGGAAGCGTG